TATAAAGAACACCAACGTTTGGGCAGGGTTGGCCTATACTATAGCTAGAGTGAAGCGAAAGAGAGAGGATTTATCTTGGAGCATTGAGTCACATACAAAATTCCCCGTAGGGGTTTGACTTGGAGGAAATGTTCGTTTGTTTTCTCTGTTTTGCACCCTTAGCATTTTAAGGAGAGGTCACAAAGGGAAAGAATAAGAAAAAACCCCCACCAAACCCAACCCCCCCCCAAAACCTATATTTTCAAATACCAGTTATGGCTGCAGATTGTTAGCAGTGTTTGTTATTGCTATGACATTTATCAAAAGTCAAACTTTCAAAAACGGTGATGTGGTGACATGCATATCTGCTGTGAAGATAGTTTAACATTCTTGGTATAGAATAGCACATATTTTTTTACTTTAGATATTTGACCAAAAATATAAAGAGAACAAAACTTCTGAATATTTATATTATGCACAATGTAATTTGAAATTTTGTGGTGTCTCGTACTGTTACTACTTGAATAAATACTTATTTTCAATGTAGTTTTCTGTTGTGCTTTGTATTTTGGGGTCACTTAAATGTGTAGTGGTTGTTTAAAGTTGGAGTTTAGTGCATTTTCTAAAACTTACTTTGCATTATGGAGTTTCTTTTGAGTTAAAGTTGCTCATAGGCAACGTTGTTGTAAGGTCGTCATCATACATTTAGCAAAATTAATTTTATTAATCAGGAGTTTTGCCTTTTTGAGATTGAGTACTCAATGAACAATTTCAGAAGATTATTTTCAATTGTATCAGATTTTTTTTTATAACTAAAAGTAATCTCTGTACATACAAAGTTGTAAATGAAAGTGGCACTGTAAAGGCAGTCTGACTTTTTAAATCTCTAATGGTTTTTATGCTTTCTGTCATATCCATCTGCTAAATTGTAATGGATTCTTGGTTCCCTTGCTAAAAACAACCACTTTTTATTTATTTCCTGTTCTCTCTTAAACATTCTGCCTCTCACTTAGAGAGGAGAGATTTTTAACAAGTGTCATCTGTTGAAATACTTTACTATTCCTTCAGCCGAAAGAGGGCACGCTATTTCTGTGTGTTACTGCTGTGTTTGTGTGTTGCGGTAGGACTGAGGGATGGCAAGTAAGCATCTCATACCGAATCTTAAGGACTGGAGATACATCTCAGTGCCAGGCCATTGCTGAATAAAAGTTTAGGGGCTCTTTCCTGTTTTTGTTGTACATCCATTGCGGGAACAGCTTGGGCAATGACAAAATTATTTTTTGAAAATGAGACGCTTTCAGCTAAAGGATTAAAAGCTTTCATAGGATGAACTTCTGGTGGAATAGCTAGTAGAGTGGGATACATTGCACATCTCACTAATAATGCATCTGAAACGTGGCTGAGAATGAAGGAAATTAAAAATCCAATGTTGTTTGTTTAGGCTAACTTAACTGGTTGCATAACTCTGCTAAAACTAGCTAGACAAGTCGTAGGTGTAAATATTTTGATGTGCTTTTAATGTCCTCTGGAGGAGACAACTTTTTTTGAAGGTACTTTTCATTACCATTATGTGAAATTAATTTAAAGTGGTTTTAAAAGTGATGCTGTTTTTATTGCAGTTGAAGTGGTTAACCCATGTATGTTAACTTGTCTCTACTGTCAGTAGACAAACTGCATCAGTAATGCACAACATCTGATCTGAATTTTTAACAACAAAGCCATATTTTTTTCTTCAGTTCTAATAGCAGGGTGCTCTGCTTTTAAAGCATGCTTTATCGCTATGAATTTTCTTTGATGGCAAAAGATACATGCCTATACAATACAGTGGTAGGCATAAGGACCTTAGCTGACCAGATATCTATTTAAGTATTCCAAGTAATCAGGAGCTACAGCATTGTGTGCAGTTCTCTACTTGCAAAGTAGTTGTGTTTTGAGAGGTGAAGGTAGCAGCCTGGCAGCACTGCATTCTGCTTTCAGCTGTCTAAGTTGAAACTCCTAATTATGTTCCTGTTTGATGCAGCATCCAATGGGCAGTTTGTTAAGTACTTGCCAATGCTGCTTTTTTTCTTGTACATTGCAGCACTTTCAATTATTATTTTTCTGAGCCCTTTATGGTAAGAAGGAAACCCATCTTCTTTCCACCTGTTTTTTTTAACATCCTTTCAAAAGCAATAAACAGCAGCTATGTTATTTCCTGTTAATCATAATACTAATACTGAAAAAGAAACTAAAGTAAACACTCATATATTGAGATGTGTGATGCATTTCAGTTTTAAAGACAACATTTTGAGAGAGAGATTGTACTCTGCAACAGAGGAAAGTCTCATAAGGCTGGGGGAAGAATCATTAGAGATGTTGAGATGCTTAAATAGGTAATTTCTTCCGTGACTCTTGCTGAATTTTGGAAGGTATTGCTGTAAAAAGTAAAAGCAATTTTCCTCTACATCCTTTCTATCTCTTTCCAAATAGAACATGCCACCAGTGATTTTTGCCAAGAATGTGTTTTGCTGAATGCACAGGATGGTCAGCCAGCAGTTTCAGTGCTATGCTGTGGGGAAGAGGGGTGCAGCAGCACTCCTGCGTAGCTTGCTGGAAATCTTGCATGTATGCCTAAATCGGTCACCCATTGCTACTCTTGATGGATCTTAGAAGATTATAACTGCATCTCTCAACAAATCCCATCAAGTAATAGCAAATCTTACAAACTAAACCATTTTAAAATTGCCCATTATTCTATCTGCTTTTATTTCAATTCTGCTAGGCTGGACAAACGCTGCATAGCTATGGAGAATGAACCGAACACAACAACGTGTTCTGCATCTACAACTACTATCACTACCACCTCCACTTCCCGGACACAGCTGCCACAGATATCTGTCTACAGCGGCTCTGACAGGCATGCTGTCCAGGTACTGGGCTATGAAATATTCTTTCCTGTACTGTACAGTGCTCTCAAATACAAGCATTGCACAATACTTTACACAAAATTAACATTCCATTCTTAATTGCTGTCTTCTTTCTCAATATCTGACTTACTGGTTTTCAGAAGATACTGTTTACCAAAGAGTATCAGACCACTTAAGTATAGTGCAGGGTACAGGCCTGCCTCCCAAATAAGGGAGGGGGAAATGCTATGCTAGAAAGTTGGGGTTTTTTTCACCATTCCCTAAGGGTATGGGTTATTAACATAAGCCTTTACAAAGCAACACAAAATAAGGCTGTTCGTTTGACCAATGTTGACTACAGAGATCCAGAGGTATCTCTGTGTGTAACTGCTACTTTAAATACAGCTGCCTCTTGCTTTTCTTGAAATTAGGTCTCCTTGAACTCTGTATGGTCCATTCTGTTGGGTTTGATAATTGAATCTCTCTCATGCTATCCTGGTCTTTCAAAAAGCGGAACATTATGTAGGACTTGTTGACAAGAACCTAAGAGGCTTGGATGTTGTGTTATGCTGTATTGTCAGCTGATTGTCAGGCTTTCCTTGAAAACATGAATATATTTTTTGGCTATATTCTGTGACTTGGTTGAGAACAGTGATGGAGCAAGTTCAGTATTACATAATTGGTGTGAAAAGAATTTATTTGGGTTTATATCCTTGTAAAGGTAAACTTCAACATCATGTCAGCATGGTGTGTACTTTGTAATTGTAATTAATTACCTACTGATTCATCACAGGTTATTCAGCAGGCCTTGCATCGTCCTCCTAGCTCAGCTGCTCAGTACCTCCAGCAGATGTATGCAGCCCAACAGCAGCATCTAATGCTGCAGACTGCTGCTTTGCAGCAGCAGCACTTAAGCAGTACCCAATTTCAGAGTCTGGCAACTGTACCACAGGTGAGAGCGAAGATTGCTGAAAAAGAATGGTGTACTACTATCTAGAGTAGGACTACAATTCTAGAGCATTGTCAAACATAATAACAGCTTAAGTGCCTGAGCTTAATGCCTCACAATAATTCATTGTTATATTTTTAACAACTTTGGTATTTTAAATTGTATCTTCCTCCAAACTATTTGGAGGATTTTGTCTGGTGTTACAGATGCTCCAGTAGGCGACCATTCCATGCTTTATTGCATACATTATAATGCATCATGTAAATCATCAAACAGTAATAAAATAAATATTAAAAATAGACTACTTGAATCTTCATCCTATGATTTTCTCTAAAAGTTGATGGGGAAAGCAATGAATAGTAATGTGTCTTAGTGGAATCAAATAAAAATAATGAACATCTGGTATCTTAGTGTGTTTTGCCACACATCTGGCTGCATTATAAGTAATCGCAAAATTCAATGTTAACTCTGAGTGTGAAAATGTAGAAAGTAAATGACACTTCATTTCTGAAGCACAACTTTTAACACTAGTGAACATTGGAGGAGACCCATTTTGAAAACTCACACAGTGGAAAGATTTCCTTTGACCTCAGTTGACCTCAGATTGAGAATTGCAGAGATAGGTGGTTGTTAATGATTTTACACATGGAAATGCTAAAACAGTTAAAGACTTGAGGGATATAGCTGTTTGTTGTCAGAACTGGGACTGATTCTTCTATGCTCCTTGCTTTTTCTTCTATACCTTTTCCATTAGTTTATGGTAATATATTGATTTGTCATTTTTTTTGTGTGATGGATTTGTATGTACATATACAGTTACTGAGACAAAGCAAAGAAAATCAGATTGGGGAAGGCTAAGAAGTTTTGGTATGCAGTCTGTTAATACAGAAATCTAAATCACTGTCCCTGTATTCATCTGAAGGGCTGGAATAGCGTAGTGTTACAGACACTAGATGTGCTTACACAAATTATCATTCTAGAATATGTGAGTGTTCTTTACAGCGTTCATAAAGTTTGTTTTATTTTTAGAGGATTCTAATCATAATAAAATTTATGATGTGAGATTTAATAATGACAGTTTTTAATGATGTCACATTTTAAGTTCTGAGCACCATAGGTAGTGAGCTGATCTGTTGGCTCCATCAGTAACAGTTTGACAGACTATCTCTGATAGTTTTTGTTCAAGTCTTGATCTGCAAGAATCCAAGTGCCTGAAATTGAGTAGGAATTCAAGGTATTTAGCACCTTGCAGATTGCGTTCCATAGTGCCGAGTACACTTTGCTGAATACTAATTCCACCGAGTAAAGCGTTTTTACTGTTAAGTCAGAGAAAAGGTGATGGTAGAGAGGGATGTTTCTGATGGTTTATGCAATAATATGAACATCACTTAAACACTTTTTGATTTCAATATTTGACACATATTCTTGCTATTTAGGCAAGCCTGTCAGGTGGGAGGCAATGTACTTCCCCCACTGGGAGTGTCACTCAGCAGTCAAGCATGTCGCAGACCTCGGTACGTAACTGAACAAAGCCCTCCATCCATTCTCAACCCCTCTTGATTATTATATAACTACTTGGAAAAAAAAAAAAAGAAAAGATTTTAGTATTTAAATCTGTGTGGTTAAAATTAGTATTACCAAAACAGTAAATAGAAGTATGACGACTCTGTAGTAAGTGTTGGCTGCGCTTCCACACTAGTCATCCTGATGCGTGCTGCCAGCTGCTATCGTTGCTGGCCAATGTTGGAGGCTGGCTTCCCTGGTCCCAGCTCGCTCTTGGTGCTCTGAGGTGCAGCTGCTCACTCCACAAGCATTAGTGACTGTTCAGACCACTGCAGGAGTCACTCCCTGAGCTTTCATCTTTTACGTGATTTCCTATTGGATTTTTCACGTTAGTTTCTTTATTCAGGGCGCTGTTGTAGGTTAAAATCATCGCTCTATGTATCAGTGATTGAAGAGCACCAAATCTAAAGAATCCAAGTCAGTGCTCACATAAACATTTAATCAGTTTAATATATTTATAGCATTCATTCTTTTATTGATGATCATCTTTCATCATGCATCTTCTATGCACTTTCAATTACTTTATCCATATTCTAGTTTTGTGCTGAAGTTTCAGTTATTAGCAGCTCCGTGTTCAGTTCATGCTGTATTTCTTTAAGCGGCATCTCCAGATGTGTAATTTGCACGGTCTCTTATGTACAGTTCTAGAGTTGTATCAAGTAAGACTTTGCTAGTCCTACAGACATCCTGCTTATTAATCATGCCCTCAAGCTGTTCATGACTTCAGTGCATAGCTTCAGTGATTTAACTATATTTTTTTTTAAGCTCTCATAGCATTGCTTTTGCTTACAGTTGTGAGAAGTAAAATCATTCAGTCATTAAATTTAGGAGGAAAAGTCTTTAAAGATGTCTGATGTTAAACTAACAATAATTGGGCTGGGATTTTTCAAGGAAATCTTTTGAGTAAGTGATGAAAAAGAGCTGGGCACTTAACTCTGTTAGACTGGTTAGAAAAAAATTAAAAAAAAAAAAACTAAACCAAAAAACCCCAAACCAAAACCACAACAGCTTTTGTTTGAGAAGATGCTAAAGAGAATCATTGAGGAGCATTTAATGTGAAACTGTAGGAAGTTTTATTCTCCAGTCATTTTTAAATGTGCATATGTAGAATGAGGAATCAAAGTACGTATATAGTGGCACAAAGAAGTGCCACTGATCAGATTGCATAAAAAGTGTTAACAGCAGCTATCAGTCCAGTCTGATAATATAAACATTTAAAGATGCTTAAATATTAAAATTCAGGGTTTTTTTTCTTAAAATATTGCAAGCTCATGCTACATATTCTGTAAATCTATATTTCTACAAGGTATATTTTTCAGATGTCACAATATAATTGTTTGTAATTGTAACTGCTTATTATTATTCACTGTGAAATGGTTGCTTGCAGTTTAAAAATGAAAACATACAATCTTGCCAGAATCCGGTTTTGTGATGATTGGCTCAATATATTTTTTTATATTAGTTCAGAGATTTCAACTGCCCTTGCCATTTTTGTCAAAGGCTTTCTGGCTTTAGACCCTAGGATGAATGAATTTCCATGACAGAAGCAATATTTTTGTTTCCTTAGATTAACCTCTCCACCTCTCCTACACCTGCACAGATAATAAGCCGTTCACAGACCTCCAACACCACCAGCAGCAGTATTACCCAACAGACTATGTTGCTGGGGAGCACCTCTCCAACCCTGAGTGCAAGCCAGGCTCAAATGTATCTACGAGCTCAAATGGTAAGTCTTGATTACAGTTCTTAAGCTTAGTTTTTGTTTGTCCCTGTGTTGTCATCGTCCATCCCCCTCTCCTCCCAAAAAAACCCCTCAACCTTAACCATTTCAGGTATTATTTTATTTCTATAAATTATTTATAAATATTTTTCTTTAGTTTCAGATAGCATTGAGAATTCAGTCATTAATTTGTGAATATGTATCTTCTGAAACACTGTAGACATGAGAAGTAAAAGGATTGCTCTAGGTTAATCCTCTGGCGAACTTTGCTTAAGTGTTTTTAGCCTGGTCGTACTACAATTATTAAATTGATCAAAGATGGGAAAAATAGAAAAAGAGCACCTGTCTTTTCTGGCTTTGTAGAAGGGCATACTGGCATCGGTCTATATTCAAGGTAGACTGTTTTCCAATGCACTGGTAACATTCAGAGTTCCAAATCCAGATTAAAATTTTCTTAGATTTAACTAAGATTGTTCTTTGTGTTATTGTCTCTAGAATTCAAGTTAGATACATAGTTTTCATTCCCTTTGGATTCACATGGAACTCATCGGATTCTTGCCATTTCCTGTCAATGTGGCATTTCTATTTCCTAATTGGCAACTTTGAAAAATCTGTTTAGGAAATTTTTATTTTCTTTTTATTTAATACTTTATCTAGTGAGTTTTGTATGACTTGAACCTTACAATCTGTGTGGGATTTCATAGACATTACTGAAATTGTACGTGAATGCTCAGGTACCAATCAGTTCTTTCTATGATACCTGTTCTTTCTATGACACTTAATTGGCATAGTTAAAGTTCATATAACAGCTCTGCTTCTTAAATAGCATATTGACAGATTGGAAAAATCTAAGTTCTCTTTCTTTAATATGGTAGATATTGGGCTGCTCTCTTGACTCTTTTGTCTTTGTTTCACTCATTTGTAATATTGGAGGGAAAGTCTTTAAAATACTTCTGTGAAAGATGGTAGGGGTGTGAAAGATTGTGAAAGATTTTTCTCAATATATAGAGCAAATATTTTACAGTATTCTATTCATTTTACATTATTATCTTTTTACTTAAACTACCATGATAAATTGTTCTTTGAGTAAGTTCATCTAAAAGTGAAAAAGTAAATCTTAGAAGCTGTACATCGCTACATGTAAGTTATGTATTTTTCTTTAAAATATTGCATTTCTTTCACGTATTTTCAAAGTTTCAGTCTGTTACCAGGTATTTTTTCTTGCTTAACAGCTTATTTTTACTCCTGCGACCACTGTGGCTGCTGTCCAGTCTGACATTCCTGTTGTCTCATCATCTCCCTCATCTTCTTGTCAGTCTGCAGCTACTCAGGTGAGCTTGTATAAATTTATTAAAGGTATGTCCAGTAGAGTGGGCCAAAACTGAGAAGAAAGGAGACATTGCGCTTAAGTTTTACTTGCTTGTAAAAACTGCTAATGGGTACTGGTTATATATAACCTCAGTGTCTTCTGTTTGCCATCATCACACATTTAGAGGTGATCATACTGTATGTAAAATTTGGATCATGGATATGACATTTTAGGTTTTCGTAATTAGCTCTCATCTTTATTACCTTGAATAACTTCATATTATCAGCTAAACTTGTATCACCTTTTCACTGCTCAACATATTTGTGTATCATCTGGAAAAACATTTTCTTTAAAAGCCTTTGTTAAATGGACCTTGTTTAGAAACCTTTTAGAAATCCAAGTAAATTATATCAGTTGAATTGATATAATTCTCTGACCTTACATTTGTTAACCCCTTCAGAAGATTCTAATAGATTTGAAAACCTTAAAGATGTGTCACTGTTCTGAGGTAATGGGAAATCATTGCCTTCCCTTTGCTTTTTGAGTAGGTATTTGAGGTGGGCAGAGTTTGCTGGGATCCAACTGTGTTTTTATGCAGGATGTTGTTGAGCAAGCTCACAATGTTAAGTTTGTCGGTTGAGCCTTTGTTGAAAAGATGGACTGCTCCTTCAGGGTTTAGAGAAATGTCTGTCTTTATCATATAGGCTAATCTGAGCAAGTAGGCAATGCCAGTTGATAAGGAAAAAAAATGTATTTAGTTATATACATAAGTGTGTATGTTACACTTAGCCAAGATGTTTGTGAAGGTACAGTATAGTACACAGTATTGTCTTCCATGCAGAAATACCACAAACTCAGCAATTCATCGATGATTAGCAGTGTCTCAATGGCAATGCCTAACATGGCCTCTTAGGTGAACTGACACTTTTCTCCTACTTACTCTTCTTCCCTTCTGCTTTCGTACTTTTTTCTTTTCATACGTGTCCCCCTCATGTGTGATCTGGATGTCTCGGATTAGTTACTGTATCTGTTAAGGTGTGCTGAAGGTTGATTTGTATTCACAGAGATAGTATTGCAGTAAATGCCTTGTGCGTGCCAATAAGGAAACAAATACTGTTGTCTTCAGAACAGGATTTGAATGCATCCAGTGGTAACACACTGAACAGCGAGCAGTAAAATCTCAACTAGCTGTTCATTACACAAATACCAACTGTTGAATGAGGAAGGGGTTATATAATCAAAATAGTGGATGGTAATAATTACTCCTCTTTTTCATGTAATGTATGATGTAAATTAGTGCTACAAGGATAGTCTTTATCCTTGAAAATAAAATTCTGACTCAGCATGTCGGATTGGAAAGTTGGGGTCATGATGTACAGAATCTGGCTGTGATACAACAGATACTAGTGAAAATAATCACTGACTGATTTACATTTCAGAAGGCAAACCTTTTGTTTCATGTGACATTGGAGATTTCACGATGAAAAGGTACACTAATAACGCTGCAGAACTAAAGGGCTCATACATAACATACAGCAGATTCTGGTCCCATTGACTACCCAAGGCTCTGGTTTATGTTAGTGTCTGGAAGCATGCTTAAAGACCACTGTACTTCTGCAACGTCTGTATAAAAATAAAATTGCATTTGCTTAAGATGCTTTGTGTCGTTCACTTTGAAGGCACAATAAAGAAGAAAAAAGGCAAGTTTTAATTCAAATTAATGTAATGAACAATTTGCGTTTCTTTTAAAACTTGAATAGCAAAAACAGACTTTCCTTTATTTTCTTTATCACTGAAGTAATTGAAGATCCCTATTCTTTTCTGAATTTTGTGGCTTGAAAGGTACTTTGGTATGCAGATTTTTAACTTTTTACTTTTTTTGATCACATGGGATAAAGAAACTTTACATAACATTATTTTTCTGCTATTTTTGCCTGGATGTTTGTCATAGATGTTTATATGGTTTGGGTTTTTTCATTTTTTGTTCATTTCCCAGGTTCAGAACTTGACATTGCGCAGTCAAAAGTTGGGTGTATTGTCAGGTTCACAGAATGGCCCACCAAAGAGCAGCAGTCAAACTCAGTCGTTGTCTCTGTGCCCTAATAAACCTGTAACTGGTTCCAAGGGCAGCCAACCAGATCCCTCAGAAAGCAATAGAAAAGGCGAGAGCCCAACTCCAGAGTGTCGGAGTACACCAGTCACACGGACATCAAGCATACATCACTTAATGACACCAGGTAGGATGAAAATGGAGCTATAAGACAGTTATTTTTATTAAAGTTAAATTGTACCTTATGGTTCTGTGAGAGTCTGGTGCTCTCTGGGTTCTTTTAGACATTCCACATGAATAGGATTTAATGTTTAATAGTAAATTTACTTATTTGTTGATATTGGATGTTATGCAGGATTTTGATTTAGCAGAGTGATACAGCAGTGTTCTTAAATCACAATACAGCAATTGCAATACTTGCTTGAATCACAGTACAAACATGATTCTCATTACTGGTCTCTCTATATGCTCATTGTCAGGACATGTCATCCTCAATCTCTGAGAAGCAAACGTGGGCTGAAACGACCTCAAGCCTCTTGTTCTCATCAAAATCTATTTTTTTGGTGGTTCTTTTGTGTGTGTGTCTTGTCTGTGCCATCAGAATGTTCTTATATCAAGTACTTTTATAAACCCTTAGGTAATAGTGCCCCAGAATTTTAGTATTTTGTATTAAGCAATAACACAAAATAAGCATGCAGTTGGTTAGATAGGCATTTACATTGTGTACAATGTAGTTGCGTTTTAGCTTCCTTATTTTTAAAGAGTAAGGGTAGTCTAGACAATTGGTCTGAATTCTGTGGAATTTAGCTTGGCTTAATGGCAGCTTTTAGAGGAGTAAGACTGCAAGGCAGACATTCTTGAGGTATTGAGCCCTCATGCTCTTAGAACTCAGTTCTGTAAGGAAAAAAATCCATGTTCATTAACAGAATAAATAAACCCACCCACCCCAAATTACTGAGTTGTTTCTCAAGGGGAAAAGACAAAGCAAGAGGTTTGCATGTGAAGGAGAATATATGCATGTGTCTGCTGTAAGGAATTACCAGTGAGTCACTGGTTCACTTGAAGGTAGTGTAATATCTCTGGAAGCTGCACTATTTTTACATTAGTACCTTTCAGTTTGTGTGTTCAAGTTCAAATACTTTGAAAGGTTTTAATTCATATGGAACTCTTGGAATTTTTTTTGGTGTCTTAAAATTGTATTGCCTAAAGTTTAACTTAGCAGTTATCAACAAATCCTGTTGATGGTGACATGCTTATCTCTTCCGTTCCAGTCTGTTTCAAGGCAAAGATTAAATCCATTTAAAGTTGCATGAAATTCTTAAATAAGAGAAGGCTGGATCAGCATTAATCTTAGAACTAGCACCGAAAAGATAAGTTTAGGTACTTTTATATAGAAAGTACATATCTGTGTATATATATATGTAAAATATGTATGTATGTGTTCCTTTATTCATTGCTGCATTTTGTTTTGGAAATTGATACATTCCCCTAATAAATTGTTCTTGTGTACTATATGCTGTCAAAGAAGATATTTCTAAACATAGATCCGGAGGGTTGGAAAAGTTGCGCTGATCTTACTTAAAGTAAAACTTCCTTTCTTTTAATATTTTATAATGTTCTCTGGACTTAAAAGAAATAAATACTAATTGTCACTTTTTTCCCCCCTCACAGCTTCATATTCTCCATTGCAACCTCATTCTCTAGTAAAACATCAGCCGATCCCACTTCATTCACCACCTCCAAAGATTTCCCATCATCAGCTGATACTGCAACAGCAGCAGCAAGTCCAGCCAATTGCACTTCAGACTCCTTCGGGTCAGGAGCCCCCTCCATCACAGCACTGTCTACCGCTCCCAAGCCATGGGCTTCCTCCAGGTCCCAGCAGCGTCCAGTCTCATTGCTCACCTATTCACATCCATCCTCCACCTCTAACACTATCTCCTACTCCATCCCAGTCAGCTCAGCAGTCAGTAGTGGTATCCCCTCCACCTTCTCACTCTCCTAGTCAATCACCCACAATAATTATTCACCCTCAAGCTCTTATTCAGTCACAGGCAAACTCCCTCGTCCCAACAGCTCTTCAGCCAGAGCAGGCTGCTTCTCAGCAAACTACCACCAATCCAGTACGACCTATTGCACAGCCACTCAATCTTCCATCGCATCTTCCACTTCCATCTTCCCCCGCTGTACATCTAGGGTCAGTAGATCAGCCCAGCTTAGTTTCCCCAGGCCAACAGCTCATGTCCTCGACACCACACCAGCAATATTCAGCCTTGCAGTCCACACCTATCCCTCTTGCAGCTCCTCCTCAGCTGTCAGCATCTTCAACCCAGATTCAACAACTGCCGTTGCAGTCTGTGCAGCCTTTACAAGTGCAGCCTGAAATTCTGTCCCAGGGCCAGGTTTTGGTTCAAAACACTTTGGTTTCTGAGGAAGAACTTCCTGCTGCAGAAGCTTTGGTCCAGCTGCCATTTCAAACTCTTCCACCACCACAGACTGTTGCAGTAAATCTTCAAGTGCAGCCATCAGTACCAATTGAAACTCCAGTGGTAAGTGGTAATATTGCAGTTCTTTTGTTCTTTATCCTCTGCTTCTCTAAAGAGCTGTAAATCTGGCTCATTGACTTCAGAGGTAGCTGAACCAGGTGCTAGACAGAGGACCAGAAGAAACCTATTGATTACAGAAATTAGCTTAAAACAATAGACATTTTCCTCTGGGTTTTTTTTTTTTTTGGCTTTTTGTAATGGATCGTCAGTCAAGAATATCAACCAAAAATCATGAAAGTGCAACTTTTTCACCTAAAATCTTATCTCTTAATGAACTTGCAGCATATCTAAAGTTACAAAAGCAAGTAAATATATGTCAATGCTTATGTCATATATGCAAAGGCATATAGCAGATTATTAAGATAATAGAGTTCTGGATAATTAATTTTGTACTAACATCAAAAAGGTCCTTTTCATAAAAGAGTAGGGGAATTTTTGATGCTGTCTTGGTGTTTGCCATCGCTTCCTTCTAGTTTAGTTTAATGTTAGTATCAGACATCTGCAGTTTGTAACTGAAGGTTTCAGCTTCACTCACGCTGAACCAAAACGGAATAAAACGCTATGCAAATAATGCTGACATTTAGGGTGGCATTGCTAGGGTTTAATGGTAACATGCTAATAAGATTAACATGAGCAAAAGAATCAACAGCTCTTATAGGCTTTTTTTCAGGCTACCAGTGGGTTAAGGAAGAAGGTGTTCTGTTTATTTTTAATCTCTATTAAGAGGGTAATGATAATATCAGCTCTCTAATATTTCATGTAGAAGTTGGGCAAAAGAGTAGAAGCCAGGTTTGCTTTTGGCAAGGTGGTGTTTTACATCCTAATCTGTTAAACTGGCTGTCAGTAATTCATGTAAATTTACTTTAATAGTTTTGAGGAGGATACCTTATAATCTCTTATAAGCACTAATGCTTGATTGTCTCTGTCTACTCATCTGAAATACTCAGTTTGGTTACACTGCTGTATAAGAGAGAACAATTTGCAGACTTGTCATTAATTTATAAAGCTTGCATTTTGCAGAAATGTTTAAATAGCTAAAAAAGTGTAATTAAAAGTACAGTAAACTATAAAGATGAGACATTGAAAAAGTCAAGTTCTCTGATCTGTTTGATACGAGAGCTGTGCCTCTTTATATTTTGCTATTTGTAACAAAATACCTTAATTTTACTTCCATAGATATTGTGATGTCCCTAGAGTTCATCATTCTGTATGCAGTCTGGAAACTAATATTTTATTTGGAGATTAGCATATTTTAACATTTTAACTGGTAATTTATTTTAAAAACTGTATTTATGCAACTCTTTTAAGGTATTAAGATAGAATGGAAATGTCTCTAAAGCAATAGTTTGTTGGATGCAGATTTACCAAATGGAGAATGTATGTGAAGACGACATGCCCGAGGAATCAGATTGTGTCCATATGGCTAGAACACCTACGCCACCCACTCTGTCTCCACCAGCCATAACCTTGGGGAATGGAGAGGCACTTAATTCAGAAGATCCTTTGTCAGGTGGGACCAAATGTCAAACTGCGGTAGCTGTTTTGCTTGGAAACTCCTACTAGTTATCGGTGTTTTAAAATAAAAATCTGCGATCTTGATCTTTTGTATAATGTAGTGGTATCATTTTTTAAGTAACAGAAACTATATGAAATATATTAGAAATCCATGTGATAGAATGATTCAGTCCCAAAGGTGTAGCTTATATATGTGTTTGCATAACATGTAACATGGAAAATGCTTATTTGAGATCTTTAGCATATACTTTTATATTAAAATCTTAAGAGGAGTGTCAATCTCCAGTTAATCTTTAAGTGATAGCTGTGTGATACAAGCAAAATATTCTGGCTGATCTGGTGTGAAGATTGATTTTGCAGAATCAGGGTCAGCAATCGGAAGTTGCTGTTGAAATGATTGACTACCTTGTATGATTCTTTTTGGCACCTTTTTTTTTATATGCCACAGTAAGGAGCTGTTCTAATGCAAAAACTACCAATGAAAATTTTTCTTTTTCAGTGAATTGTAAGATATACGTGCCTGTATCGATTCTTGTCCTGCAAACTAATGTAACTTCCCTGATGTGCTAAATGTACAAATATATACTCTCTTTACATATAGTGTATATATATATATGCTATACATATAACTGGGTGCTTAGTGGCTTGATGTTGTGTATATAGTTGTGACCTTGCAGGTTACTGAGGCTCAAAGCATCCCTGAAAATAAATTCTCTCTTTAGAAATACCTCAGCTGCTCAGTCCTGAGAATCCAATGTTTGAATATACTGGTTTCTGATCCTGCTCTAGCAGGAGGGTTGGACTACGTGATTTCTAGAGGTCCCTTCCAACCCCTACCAATCTGTGAATTAATGGCCAATAATGCTTGTAGTTAGTAGGTACTGAGTAAAGGAAAATGTTTACATGAGAACTGTTTGTTTGTGGAATAGTCTGTCAAGGAAAACCATCTTGTTTTCAAGGTAAAAATCTGTAAACCATAGGGAAAAGCCTGTGTTACAGGATGATGGGTGCAGAGATGGGTGTGTTTATCACCTCTTATTTCTAGAATTCTGAGCCAATGGTTGGACATAAGTGATCAAAAAAATAACGTACTCTTATTTTTTTCAGAACATGGGGGACTACCTTCAGTGACATCATCAGTCAGTGCCTCAGTAATTAAATCCCCGTCTGATCCTTCACATGCATCTATTCCACCACCACCTCTTTTGCTTCCAGCAGCAACAACAAGGAGCAACAGCGTATCAATGCCCAATAGCATTCCTAGCCTAGAAAATAAACCTCCACAGGCTATCGTTAAACCACAGATCCTGACCCACGTTATTGAAGGCTTTGTGATTCAGGAGGGGTTAGAGCCATTCCCTGTAAGTGTAAAAGTTGATATGAATTTTTTACTACTAATATTTGAAACAAACTGTTTTTAAGAATGATATTATTTGTGGCTAGTAGCTATTTAGGTCTTGAATAATTTTTCAGATGTTGGTTTTAACCTTTTTCCCGCTGATTGGTAACCTGTTTCTTACAGTATTCACTATACTTGTATAGTGTTTGTATTGGTTTATGTATATAATCAGAATGCATGCTACTGTTGGGCTTGCCAGTATCACTGGACGACAAGATACTAAATGAAAACAGAGACAGTTGAATAGATAGTCTATATCCAGAGATAACTAGAGAGTGATTTTAGGCTATCATTTGCATTAACTTTGTTTTACATTTGTCTGTCTTTTAGATACCTCAGTTTAAGTGATACCTTAATTTAAACCTCTGAGATGAATCTGTGTTAAAATTCTAAAATGTTAAAATTTTGTTGTTTAAAGCACTGGCAAGCCCCTTATTGAGCTTGGTGTGATTAGTACTGTGCCTGGTAAGAATTACTGTTGAAAATTTTAAATCTGCAAATGGACAGTTTAAAACCTATGAGCCTGCCTTATTTACTAATTTAATGTGTCTTTCATTTTCCCATTCCTTCATTTCTCTAGATATAATGTGTTTCTTCCTTTGTTAAAAGTAATTGCAAACTCTGCAGAGCAGGAGTGAGTGTTTGTATTTGTTTGAGAAATGGTATTTAGAGCTTTGGTGCTATGTAATAAGGATTCATTGATATAGAATAGAAACTGTTTCTAGTCTCAGTTACAGCTGCTAAGTTGCAAATACTATTTTCAATTATTCATTGTTCAGTTGATCACTGTTGTTTTGCTTTTATTGCCATAGGTAAGTCGTTCATCTTTGCTGGTAGAACAGCCTGCAGAAAAAAGATTGCTAATGGAGGGTCAAATCATGAGCGTTGTGTGTGTTGAATCAGACTTGCAGAATACAAAACATGCAGACAACTCATCGGACACAGAGATAGAGGATATGATGGCAGAAGGTTTGTGTGATTTATATCCATTACTGCTTATAAGTGTATTGGGTCAGACCCAGGATTGCAGACAATTTAAAAAAATCTGCTTTAGAAAGCATTCTGAATTCAAGAAGAGTATTTGTTGGTCATGAAGTCAAGTAAACATGTTAGAGTTTTTGCTTAAGGCTTTACCACTCAGGCAATTTACTTGACCACTCAGGCAATGTGTTTCTCTGCTTAAAAATAAGAGTCTATTTTTACTTGTAGCACTGATTTTTAGTAGTAGCTGGTTTAGCTTGGAAGCATGTCACTGAAAGGAAATATCGATGGATTGCAGTCCTCCTACATGTTGAGATAACATCTGTGCAAAGGAGTCAGAAACTGTGGAAACATAAAACAGGATTTCCTAAATTATGGCTGATTATGTGATTGCATTTACTAGTGTATCTCGGTATCATCCAGAGCCGCCCTTCACTTTGCAGTAACAGCCTAGTTTAGGCAGTGGCAGGTATCTGAAGTGCTTTGCTTTGTAACTGTAACTTTGGTTTGATTATGTTGTAATTGTTGTCTACATATTAAAATGAAGAAACAATTTTTAGAGTCCATTTTTTTAATATTACACACTCTTCTACCGTAAACTAATTTGAGGCCCATACCTTATTCGTCACAAACCTTCACATAGGCATGGCAGGCTAAATTTTAGAAGGCAAGCATCTGGCACATTAATAGTGGAGGCTTGCAGTGTGACTGGAAGTTTTCTAAACCTTTGTTTCATTTAATTTAAATTTGCTGTTATTTTTTTTTTATCGTCCCCCAGTGAGGGCTTCCATTTAGCCAGCTCTTTGAGAGGGAAGTCCAGTGATATGAAAGCATAAGGCACAAGAGGCGTTAAAAAAAAAGTCATCTGGTAAATTTTATGACTTGTTTGACATTTTTTGGTTATTTTACAGCTCAATGGAGCTACTACTTTTCTACACACAAAATGAGACTTGTAAATCTCTTAGCTCATGACTGTGCTTAGTAAATTGTTTAGTAAATTGGTATTAAACTTGCTTTCTTGATCAAGAGTACAGGGGTTTTTAAATAACTTGTTTCACCCAATGTATTTCAAACAAAAGAAACTTTTTGCTGTCTGATATATCTTCTAGCATGTTTGAAGCTCTGTTTGTAATTGTTATTTTGCCTTTAATGTGTTACAGTGGATCTTAATTCAGTTTTCTTTTCAATAGCATTCCCTAAGAACTTTTCAGTATTAACACTATGTTGTTTCTCAGATTTCAAACAGCTTGTCTGTTGTCTTACAGAATTACTCAAACATTCATGGTTTTTTGTTTTTAGTTATTGTTCCTGACAGCTGGTGTTAGATTTATGTACACAATTTGCACCTACTCTTTAGATGAGCTAGTAGGAAACATCCAGCATTGAGACACATCCGTGTACGTGGAAATTGAGCAAAGGAGATTTTCTGATACTAACCCAGGATATGATTGCATGTATGGTAGAAACACCTGATATGCAAAATAAAAGGCTCTTAGCACCAGTTTTCGCTTCACTCTGT